GAAACTATGGTCTGTTCTCTGGGCAACAAAGAAGCCAACCCCATCTCGGTCCACCATGGTCCCGCTTGAGCCCCCATTGGCCCCTTCTTCCCTGAACCCATCATTTACTACACCACCAAACAACAGACAAGTAAAGAAAATAATCTGGTAATATGATCAATGGGGAGAGCATTTTGGAATTGCGACCATAAATTCTCCTGGTTTCCCAAAGGATGATCAAAAGCAGCTTTTTAACATCTTTGGAAAATGGAAATGTATGGTTTGTGATGACGTGTGTAACAAAATAGGACAGAGTAACATGCCCGGTGTTTTTGGCATCGGTTGGGGAATATGGTGATGCTGGTGATGTCATCTAGCCAAGCATCTCTGTTGACCACAAGACACATTTGACCACTTTACAGCAGTGCCCCCTAATATGAGAAGCAAAGGAACTAAATGTTCCCGTGAGATGCTCCCTGACATAGCGCTTGGTTCATCAGTCCCACAGCTTAAATCTTTCAGTCCATTTCCGCAGTACTGTTTTTTGTTGCATCATTTAAAACTCATCACACTGCTCCAGTTGTTGAAGAATTAATGCTTTTCCTCGAAAGAGAAGCATCCACATGTAATTTTTAATTCAAACTGGCAATGAGTGGAATATCTTTGAGTCAGCGGCCATAATTGTACGTAACTTTATCCCACACGGAGAAAAAAAAAAAACAGTCATTCAGACCACTCTCTCTTTTCCATTACTGTGTATTTCAGCTGCCAATTCTGGAGTGGATACCTGATCCATCAATGGCAAAGACCGTGAGGTGAGTGATAGGGCGAGATGGGGCCGTGGCAGAATCCAGGGCCAAAAGTGTGATTTTGTGCAACAGGAAAAATAGCCAAAATGATGATGTTATTATATATATCCTGTGTCACTGATGGTAATTCCCATGCAAAATATTCAGGGGACACAAATGGATTTCCATTTGAGTGCAATGCTTAAATTACAGGATGTTCATGTCTCCAGTTTTGCGGCAAAAGGATAGACTTGTGAAGGAGCAAATCAACTGACCCAGTCAGTCTGTACTCTCAAATCACATACTACAAACTGCTGAGAGCTTTTGCAGTAGTACGAAAGCGGATAGCGGACATGAGACACTTTTGGAAAGCTCACATGTCCTTCAGTGTGATGTGCTAAATGCTATCTAAAACTATTTTGATTGGGGAACAGGTTCACAGAACCCATAATACACACTTTCACTTATTGAAGAAATAAAATGCAATAAACCAACATTAGCACTTTAAATTCTCATTATTCACATGACTTTTGCCACCATTACCGAATCCCTCTTCACTTAAAATAATTAAACAGAACCTTTGTGACTTTGTGGAGCTTACCGGTACATTAATAAAGCAGTATCTCCCCATCTAGCGGCCTAGCTAACATGTCAGTTACACAGAGGTTGAAGCTTCAAAAACCTGGAGAAGGATGAAGCTAGACCACAAATGTACTCCAAGTGTTTCACCATGGTGGCAATTGAGGCATGAAAGGGGATCTATGAATATTAGTTTGAAATTGCACATCAGAACATTAGATTATCGTTGTAAGGGTAATCAAAGGTGGGAAGAGGTCACTCTGGAGGGTGAGACATCAGAACGCAGAGTGGAAACATAGACAGAGGGGTTACAATAACAAAGTGTTAAACTCTGAAGTTCAGTTGTACTCTTGCTGGAACAGTCGTGTCTCCATAGACCAGTTGAGTCCTTCAGTAGAGGCTCTCTCACTCCAACACAAATACTCACTAAATAAAGGCGGAGTGTTCCAAGTAAAATCACTTCAGCTGAGTTCAATAACTATTATTCATGTCCCATTTCTTCTTGCCTATGCAACAGGCACCATGATATTAATAAGGAAAGCCTTTATGTTTTCATAAGAACTGAAGAGGAGCCTTGTAGAGCACATTTCTGATTTCTTATGAAGTGCCCTACAGAACAAAAAAAGTGATAACCTAAAATCAGAAAGAAAAAGAAAAAACACTGTGCATCCGTAATGCGGGTTTGTCAGATATCACTTAAGATGCCGTTGGTTACTTACATCTTGAGAGTGTGTACCAGTATTTAGTGTGAACCTTGATTATCTTTCTGTGAGCAAATGACTCTTATGAGCTGCTTCATTTTAATGAATCAGTTAAAAAGATTGAAGAAATAAAGTCTTGAGTCTGAAATCGTCCTGATACGACACATTTACCCCTGCTCTGCTAAATTTCATAAGCGAAATCCTGCCATTTCAATGGGAATTCACATTGTCAGGAATTTTGCATAAGGTAAAAACATTTTCCCATGCAGATTTTGCAGCAACCTTCAAGAGCACTTGGCGATTACAGACAGGTGTGTTGGAGCAGAATTAGAACTCAACTCTACAGGTAGGTAGACCTTAAGCAGCAAGATTGGGCACCCCTGGTCTACTGAAATTACTAATAATCCAGCTCTGACCTACAAACAAAAGAAGTACATAAAGATAATAGACGATACCGTGAGGCGGCACCAAGGGAATTGGAGTCATTTGATGGATGATGATGTCTCACAACAGGTATTCTTCCTTCTTTGAGGCTCATTCCTTTCATATTGTAACCATTTGCACTGGATTACTACCACTGCTTAGACAAAATGTGACCTCAACGTACAACCTTTGACCTGCTGCATGAGCTTGACAAACTAAGTACGGCAGGGGGTACGAAAGCTATATTGGAAGGGGATGCCCTTTTCTCCAGATTCACAATGAAAGGCTCACAGGTGTTATTTGGCCTTTTACAAAACCACTGTGGGGCCTTTTAGAAAAACAAAAACCATTCAAAATATAATCCTCCTGCTTTAAAACATGTCTCAAGATCCACCCTGTGGATAGGCATCCACCTTTTATCAAGGTGAACAACTTTTCACCAAAGGAGAGCCACGGAAATCATCAAAACTCAAATAATAGATCAAAACGGACAACATCATCATCATCATCATCATCATCAGACACTATAAAAGCACACATTTGATACTCGGTGGATATGCGAGTGCAAAGCCAGGTTCCTGCAAGCAAATCAACCATCATCACCCATGATCATGGCATCATCTTACATGGTCATCTTTGCACTTGCAATTTTAGTTGAGTTGACTACTCGCACAACAACAGCTTTGCCCAAAGTTAAGATGGATGGAGAACATACAGAGCGGTGCCGATAGAAGGAGAAGACGATGCAAGCGAAATAGGACCTGGGCGGCTCACCTACAGAAGACAACCAATCATAGAGGGCAGACTGGTGGACGAAAATGGGACAAAACACATCTTCATACTTGCTGTAAGTGTTTGAGAGTTAATTTCTTGACAAAGTAGGAGTTTTATTTATTTTATTTTACATTCTGTTACTTCAGGTAAAAACCAGAGATTCCATGATTGTATTTGCCAACATTTACATGCAAGTTTTGATCAGATTAAAGCAAGAAATCGTACCAGTCCGATTTTGCTGGTGTGGTAAGAATCAGATGACCTTTCTATGGGTATCGAACAGAGCTTTCTCAATTCAAGGCTGAATTGTCCTCACATTGCTACAATTATCAGTGCAGTAATGGAACAGTCAGAGAGGACTATGGGAAGGACACGGTCACAAGAGGGGAAATGGAATCTATGGATAAAAGGGCCCACGGTGATATTGTGAAAATTGGCCAAGCGAGGCATGGGAAACTTTGTCACATTTCTTCCATGTGGGGCTCCATGCGCCGGCTTTGCTCCAGTAGTTTGGGAGCAGTTATGGAGAGGGATCTTGAGGCTGCCCTTGGGCGTGTGTTGTTCGAATTAACTTAAACATCTCCAGGTGCTGTTTCAGACTTTAATACAGTAGGAAAAATGCCTGTAGAGGGAGCAGTGTTTTGTGTTTAGCTTGGGCTGCTTCTGTTCAAGTGGCTGTCCCACATTCTGAAGTGCTGACTAAAAATGCCTTTCCCTTTTCCACCAGGACACAGGAATAAAAGGGTCTCTTGGGAGGGAAACAAACCTTGCCTTTTCGAGAACCTTCCCTGTCTTCCCGCCGCGTGGGATGGATCGCGCTCTGGATGGATTCAACACGAGTGATGAGCGACGTAGCACAGATAATGTCATTCCCATTGGCAGGAGGGACATAGACAGTAAGCACTGCCAAGTTTCTTATCTTCTCCCTCTCCATCCTTTTCGGAGATATTTTTACATAGCCATGAAAGTAGCCTGATATGCTTGAGGAAACTTGAGGACTAAGTTTTAAATAATTTTACATATATATTTATAATTTTATAGTTATATTTATAGTTAACATTCTAAAAACAATTTACCCAGAGAAGGACTGGCCATCCATCCATGCCGTTTTCCTGCCTACGCCCAAGATGCGGGGATAGGCTCCAGCGTCACTGCAGTTTGAAAAAGGAATGGATGGATTAAAATGGCACATTACCAAACTGAGAAGAAACCTTGTTAGAAAACAAGGGGTTAAAAAAAACTGCCATCCATAACTTTCTGAAAAACAAAACCGATTACCAGAAATAGAGCCAGACTAAAATGGTTTGCTGGTCTTACCTGGTTCAAGCTGGTCTCCCAACTGAAGAGTGTTCAAAACCCCTCTACAACTGGCAAATCAGACCAGCAAAGCAGCTTAGGTTGATTTCATCTTTGTTTCAGCAGGGAATATAGCAGTGAATAAACAAGTAGCCTTCCAGTTACATTTAATGCTAAATTTGTTTTGCTCTTCCTGTTCTCTTCACAGTACTGAGGTGCATGATCGGGAGAGTATACAGGCCCTGCTGGCAAGCTTGAAAACAGAGCAGCTGACAAAGCACCTGTATGATTTTCCTAGCTCTCCCCTGATCCTGTAAGACACTCCAAATATAAAGATGACAAACGTGATTTAAAAAGAACTGAAATACAAATTTATTAAAATCTGCAAAGTATGAGTCATGTTCAAGGGGAACAAAGCATTCATCATGAAAGGTACCCCAGTCACACAATCCTCAACTAAAATGATAAAAGTTCTTTCTCTGCCAACTCATAATCTATTCCCTTGCATCTCAAACATGCACACACACAAATACATTCACACACATGCTGTCTGGAGTAGAGCGACATGACTTGTATTAAAAGGAACAGTAAAAGCATTTAAAGGACTATTTCGCCTAAAAATAAAAGGTTTAGAACAACATGAGGGCGAATAAATAACCAATTTCAGGTGAGTTATCACTTTAAATGCATTTAGACTACTAATAAATAAAACCGGACTTTATTGCCAAAACAGAACATCATAATTAACAAGAGATTGGTCACTAAATTACAGTCTGAAAAAGCCGGTGAGTTTGCCCTGACCAGCGATAAGCTTCTTGCCTGCAGCTTTAACGTTCCTCTTCCCCGGGCCTCCAGCGGGAGTCTTGGTAGGGGGTCTTTTCTGAGGGGGCTGGTTCTCTTCTCTTCCTTGCTCAGTGCACTCTCTATTGGCGAGCTTTCTCTTTGAGGTCCCGGTTGCTCTTCTGAGCGGTTCTGGCTGGGTCCCCTTCCCACCTGCTCGGTTCCAAGCATTTCCACTATGTTCCCCCAGAGCGGATTGGCCAGGACCTTCATGCCTTAAGTTAGTGGCCTCTGGGTCCATATCCACAGAAAAACAAGAAAGGGGGGACAAAAGAAAAGCATTGGACTTTGAGAATAAGGTGAAACAATGAGCAGGAATAAAGAAGGAGGGAGGGCTGAGGACGGAAGGGTAGAAAAGGTTACGATGAAATTGCTGACGTTAGTCTGCACTTTAACAGGCGGTGTGTTTATTTTACAGCGCTGAAACTGAAGATTTGTCATGTAACCTGGTGGAGCGAAGCACACATTCCCACAAAAAGTGAGCGAGGGGGGGGGGAAGGAACGTGTGCTCTTAAGAGTTTTTACAACAGATGTGGGGGAAGCCAGGTTTTATGGGATGGGGAATCGTTTAAAGGTTGATCTTAAGTACCAGTCCCCAAGCAGGGACTGGGCAGGGATCAAGGCCTGGGCTGTGGAGGTGGACCTGGGCATCTTTCCGACCGTGTGGCGTCAGAAAAAGGGAGCAATTCTGCATGTGTATGCGCAGCGAACAGACCAAGCATGAAGGTTATTCAGTACACTAAGAACTGAGCCCCCTCTTAAGAAAAGAGGAAGCCAAAAAAACACTTAAGACCCCATGAAATGACTTAATGAACGCAGATTCCTTGTCGATCGGTTGCAGTGGGTGGTACATTCTCATTCTAGAGAGTCCGTGATAGGACATGAACCTGTGGCATTATCATTCATTTTGCTCTGGTTTCTCAGAAGAGAAAGCCTACACATTTTAAAAACATTATAAAGTTTCATTTTGTGATCTTTTCAAAGGACACAACAGCATCTAAATGGTCTCAAAGCTAATACACAAGGACTACGAGCGACAAAATTACTTATACATGGTGTATAAATGTGGCAGAGGCACTACCTTTGAGACTGATGTCCATCCCAGTGGGGTCAGGCTCTTGCTCCACAGTCACATGTAAAAAGATGGTTTTTTTGGGTGCAGGGTGCACACAGGTGGGAAGTTGGCTGGTGCTGGGAAACGCCAACACCCGGTTGAGGGGCATCTCATCCTTGTATGTACATGCAAACTGAGAGCGGACAGTTGGCCGCACAACCTTTAAAAGAAAAAAATCTAAAGTAATTCGCTTTTAAAACTTTTGCTGAAAAATAGTGACTTAGATTTTTAATCCAAACAATAATAATGATAATAATAATCCAAGACTAAACCACATCCATACTACCAGCTTGATAAAATGCCGAAAAAGTATTATAAACGAATGATGTATGACACAGTAGCCCTACAGAACTGGTACAACAGGACAAATGACAGTCCAATCATTGGACTGTCCAGAAACTGGACATGTCCAGAAACTTTCACACTGGCCTCATGTCATCAGGCCGTTCTTATTTTTGAGCCCTGCTGATACAACTGGGTGGACATGACCACATCTAAAATCTTATGATAATGAATACAAAAAAATAGGATAAATATTGCGGTCCAGAGGCCGGCGTGAGGTGCATGAAAAAAAAAGGAAATGGTATCTCGCACAGGCTTAGTGAACCTCGAAGGTCTCAAGGGTCTCAGAGAAGCGCTGATCCACCTCTTTCAGGGCCTTTGATCCATCCCTGCTAAGGATTATCAGGATTCAACGCTCTCTCCCTTCAGGCTAGCCGGCCACAGTAGGAGAGTGGAATTCATGAAATACATACAATTAAAAACACCCATTTTCATATTTTAGCAGTCATAAAGGTGCGGTCACAAACTTGAAATATTCTTTCATCCATATGAATGCAAACATAAGAGTAAGTACACAAGTACATACATCAAAGTTTTTTTTTTTTTTATCTTAAATGGGGGGTCTAATGCTACTTCATGCATTCTGACTTATTTACACGGTTAAAGAGTTGGATTCCCATGCTAAACATGACCAAAGTCTCAAAAAACGAGTTGGATGTATGACTATTTCTGTGCCAAATACTCTCCTTCAGGGTTTGTATAAGTTTCGGAAATGTATGACGCCATAAAGGTTGGAACTCCTTTTATGGGCACTTCTCCAAGAAGAGCATGCGCACACATCAACCAGAGCAAGAGCAGCCCGTCAACGCGTTTCATTCGGGTTATGGAAGTCATCGACAGCACTGCACAGGATTTTACACTTTGCTTTTGACCACAAAATCAACAGTCACCAAAGAAGTGTGTTTTTGGTTGTGAGGGAAAGACAGCCTTGTTCAGCTTCCAAAAGAAGGGAATTAGCGTTAAAGGGACTTTTTTGTTGTCACTACTTGCAGATGATCGCCACGCAAAAACTACACATGCTCGTGACTCTCCAGGTCCGCCCACGGCACGCCTCCAGTAGCTCGACTGTTTTCGGAGAGAAGCGTAAAGCTGTATCTTTTTTTTTTTTTATAAATCTGATAAAACTAAAACTAAAGACTCTTCGGAGATATGAAGGATGCAATACTATACTCTATAGGTACTCAAGATTAACATGAGATTGACTGAAACTGTGTGTGTTATGTCTCCTTTAAGCTCACATTTTTGTGAACTTTGACCTGCACATCCAGGTTTAAAAAAGATCTTGGACTAACAGAGGATCTAAATGTTACAGATCAATCTCTTTGCCGGGAAAAGTAAAAAAAAAAAACATGAAAACTCACTCACTAATATAGGTGGTTTAGTACACAAGAAGCTGCGTGGTTAGAAGTTTGCAGGGGTGCTGGAACTTGCTGATTATTTAAATGTTCGGAACACATTATTCAGGGATCCCACACATCTTGACCAATGAATTTCCATGATTTTTCCATAACCACTTGGTGATTACTATATTTTTAAAAGATTTGCTAATGAATCATTCAAACCGATTTGTGAATCGCTTTGGCTTCAAAAACAATGATTCACGCACAAATAACTATGGCTTGCTAGCAAGTTTCCAGATCTCTGTGCATGTTTTTAGATCAACGTCTATAAATTTACTACTACTACTACTACTACTACTACATTAATATTATTACTATTATTTACAACAACATTTAATAATTTAACTAAATTAATAGTTAATATATTTATTTTTGTGTATAATTAATTGTTATTAAAACCAACAATAAGTTATTATTATTATTATTAACAAAAATTGACTATAACTATTAAAAAAAATAAAAAATAAATTCCCCAGGCCTAGAAAACCTGATTTTAAAAATACAGTGTTTCCAGGTTTCCCATGACTGTCGGACTCCTGATTATTAATTATTTGTTACATAAAGAGGTTTGTTGCAAAAAATTATTTTGCTCGATTAAAATCTAGTGTGATCACTCTATAACTCACGTAAAAATGTGGTCTAGGAGGGTCCAAGAGCTTTTTGTGCCAGACCAGTGCTATTGCTGTACTCCACCTCACTTTATGTGTGAATATATGAAGAGATTAATAAATGTAAACATTTGGGCTGCAGCGGGAAAGAGGCTGCCCTGAATCCCTGACCTTGCTTTTGTGAAAGGGAATTACAGTAACAGAATCATCTGGGATTGTTTGACACACTATTTTCCTAATTAATGCTGTTCAGTTGCTTTGACACAATCTGTATTGTTAAAAGCGCTATATAAATAAAGGTGACTTGACTTGACTTGACTTGATTGTTAGCTGTACGAGAGACCCCGATTCCCCCGTAAGAAGTGTTTGTGTGTGGTAACAGTACTCCATAAGGTGCTGGGAGGTGGGGAACTGCACAGGCAGGGAAGCAGGCCGATGAAAGACCCCTTCTGGCTCCGCGCTCACACTCTCTCATCAGAGAAAAGAGACGTGGTGGTGAACAGGACCACATGCAGCAGGTTCAAGGCACTTCCATCAAAAATCAAGTTAATGCACATGATGCACTGCAGGAAATGACCTTGCGTCCTCTCTGAATAACTCAATCATCTATTCAATTCAGCTCCATGTGTTGTGCTGCCAAACGTCTAGTGGAGATTTGCTTGGATGTTTTGAAGTGCGAGTTATCATGGCAAAATCTCACTATTATGACGTTTAATCATAGTTATCAAACTAAGGAGGGACAAAGCCGCCATTTGCTGTTCGGTACAACACACTTTGATGTTCCTCAGATAAACATGCTTGAACAATTCAGGCGATTTCATTAATACTGGTGCAGACGTCATTAAAGGTTGCTTTTGAGAAATGGATCATGCATCGATACATGGCAGCAGGTAAAAGACGAGAGAATGAGTTAAGATAGGACGAGACCAACAGATCCACAAATATAGATAACAAGTACAATTTCTTTGGGAAAGCAAGGTAACACAAAATCTTTTGTATAAATCAAAGGCTTCTCTACACTCATCTGGGGTCATGCACTAATGATAGGGAGACAGAAATTAAGTCAAGGCTAGGTCATGACTGTCCTGGCTTTTAATTCAAAGCAATGGCTATGTTCACAATAACATAGTACTCATACTGCTGCTTAGGTTCATATTCAGCATGTGCAACATATACAGTGTGTCCATTTTTTGTATGCATACCTGAATGACCTGCAACATCAGCCAAAAAGAGCAATATACAACAGATATGGTGCATGACATGGGATAATGTATTTCGTCATAACGCAGTGCACTCCAAATGACCTTCCATTTCTAGTGTTAGTGATTAGTAACAAGGAATATCAGTGATTATTTTTGGCTTACATTAAAAAAATAAATACATGTCATCTTTTTTCAAACACAGTGACTTTGTGACCAACCAGAAACGTATCATGAAATAATGCCTAAAAGTCACTTAATCATATTAATTAATAATAATGCCTAAAACTTTACTTTAAAATATTATAATTTATTATAAGAGTGCTTAAATAAACACTTATAGGTATGCATGTTTTTTTTTGTTTTTTTTGTGGGACCAAGCGTGAATGAAATCATAGGAAAATACATAAAATAATAAATGACTATCTAAAACAAATACAAATAAACTTTAATTAAATTTAGTCTTGAATTAATTTTGTATTACTTTTTTGGCCAGTATTGGAACTCTATATTTCCAGCGAAGGCAAACATCTACAGCTGCTATGTAGACTTAAGACATTTGTTGTGTTCAGAATGGAATACTATGGATATGCATTTCCAATACAGGAAAAAAAAAAGAAAAAAAAAAGCATGAAAACGTACCTGGGATTAGAGGTTTCTCCCAAAACTTCTTGACACTGGTCGATAAAATTGAGAAACTCTGATAAGCCCTTTACGTGCTTCCTTAAGGGGTGAGACTCAGGTGGGGCGTACCCCTTTCCTCCAAGCTGTATGGCCCTGACAAATGATGTTACTGTCTGAATATAGAAAAATCTTCAATTAATTAGCATTCACATTACGGTTAAAAAGATGTTTAGTTGAACAAAAAAAATTTGTGCAAATGATAACTTATCTATATTTGAAAAGTACTCATTGCAAATTCACCAGGAAGAGAGACGAGGTGCTGTCACAGGCAGCATGTCTAAGGTCGGTAAAGGCGATGTGACCCAGAGAGCGATTTGGGTTGTCCAGGGTGTATGCGAGAGCCATGTCATACTTAGAGTTCACCAGAAGGCCCAAATAAGAACAGAAAACTCTCCTGACAACTCTCTGTATCTGCAGGAAAAGTTGAACAACACCTTAGTGGGGTAGTTGGAATTGGACTAAAAACACATCAACAAATGTTAACTGAAAGGGTAAAATGTTTTTTTTTTTTTTTTAAACAGGAACGGTTCATACTCTTCCGTTCTGCAATACTGATGAGTCAGTTAGCTGACTTGGACTCATGTTGTATAAGAGGATGGGCTTTTTCCACAGCCCCTTAAGCTTAAACAGGCCAGGCTCATAAACTTCATCACACCAGTATTACAGTGGCAAAGCCCAGCGTCTACTCACACATAAATCAGAGCCCAGCAGAGCAGTTGTGAACAGAACTGGGCAAGACTAGCAGTAGTTTCGACACACTATACAAAGTGCTTTTAAAACATCCCGTTCTCATTCCACGATTCTGAATATATGATATGATATGATATTTGATATGATGTGTGAGACCCTGGACCACAAAACCAGTCTAAAGTCGCTGGGGTATATTTGTAGCAATAGCCAAAAATACATTGTATGGGTCAAAATGATTGATTTTTCCTTTTATGCCAAAAATCATTAGGATATTAAGTAAAGATCATGTTCCATGAAGATATTTTGTAAACTTACTACTGTAAATATATTAAAACTTAATTTTTGATTAGTAATATGCATTGCTAAGAACTTCATTTGGACAACTTTAAAGGCGATTTTCTCAATATTTGGATTTTTTTTGCACCCTCAGATTCCAGATTTTCAAATAGTTGTGTCTCAGCCAAATATTGTCCTATCCTAACAAACCAAACCATACATTAATGGAAAGCTTATTTATTCAGCGTTCAGATGATGTATAAATCTCAATTTCGAAAAATTGACCCTTATGACTGGTTTTGTGGTCCAGGGTCACGTATATGATATGATATTCGCATTCTTCTGAATAAGAGGCACATGCAAGGGAGTGGAATTTAACAGGAAACAAAAGGAAAAAAAGAAAAAGCCAGCAAAAGAAAACTAGAGTAAGATCTCAACATAAAAGTAACAGAATCAGATCCTTTGCTAAACTCCACCCTCCTTAGTTACTGTTGCCAAGTGCAATAAGCTTTAAACTGTCACACAGGAGTCAGGACAATGCCTTCACTTAATTATATTACAATTAATTAGAACAACATGCATTCATTATATTAATAATAAGTGCTATAAATTAAACAGCATATTTAATATATGTAGCATATTTTATATATGTGATATATTCCGCATATTTAGTACTATGCATGTGTGTGTGTAACCTATTACAATTGTCAGCCTATACATGTAAAACAAATCGTTTAAAAATTAAAACAATGTAAAACATATATTAAATAAAAGTAAATATTATTGGTGTAAAAGTAAATATTATTAAATATATGAATATACAATTTTAAAGTTTAAATAATTAGGTGTCATTCACTTAAAGTAAATTAAATTTATTTATTACATGCATGTAATTCAGTAAATATAGTAAAAGTGTTAAGTGCTTTGTTGAAATGTTTGTGTTCATCTCATTTGCTGTCATTGTCACTAAGAGCCACATGCAGGTTTGTTTTTGTGAATTGTGGGGACATTCCATAGGCGTAATGGTTTTTATACTGCACAAACCGTATTTTCTATTGCCCTACACCTTATATATATATATATATATATATATAAGATTTATAATTTTGAAATATGGGGACACTCAATGTCCTCATAAATCACCTTCTCATTGTAATACCCATGTCATATCCATGTCATTATACAAATTTGTGTCCTCAAATCACAAAAACGCGCGCACACACACACACAAAAAAAACACTTATTCTAGTCTCATAAATCCATCACCATTTACCTGTGGACTGCTGATTCCAGCCTTGTTAGATGGAGTTGCGGGACACACAGGAAGTGGATCCATTTTCTCCAAACTCTCCTTTTCACCAATGAGAAACTGAAACAGTTGCATCTAGATATCGAGATAAGACCGAGAATATGCCACAGATTAAAGATCTTTCAGATGGATGACTGAAAGAACAACCAAATCTGAGGCCCTCTGGCAGCACTCACTGCGGTTAGGGGCTCCTCGGGGTCCCCGTTTATCCGAAGCTCCTTGAACATAATGAAGACGTCAATCAAATCCACAGTATTGGTGCGTTTCAAAAAGCAGTCATACTCTTTTCGGATGAGGTCATAGTTCTGTGGAAGAGGGATATCGTTGTGGGATAGCTGGAGCTTGTCCAGAAGGAAGTATTTCCAGGCAGCCAAGACTTCACTCAAAGCAACACCAAAGTCCCCATGTTCCTGTCAGGAGCAGAGCAAACACAGGGACGAGAATATTACGCACAACGGTTCCACAGAAAATGTACAGATACGGAACAAAATGTATGATTCAAACTTGCATGACTCATTCTTTTTCCTACCACTGCATGTATAAACTGCAAGCAAACATTTACATTGAAATTCAAAGTGGAGATCCTACAGGTTTAAACAGTGATAACGTGATTTTAAAATGTGTTTTTCACCCCTTTGTTTCTTGATACAATTATCAGCAGAAGAATTACAGTAAAAATGTGGAGGAAAAATCTTCCAAAGATCAATTGACCATCTGTACAAAGTTCACATGATCAGTGGCACATATTTGACTTAATTAGTGCTCTTAAAAACATTCAAGATTTTTAACCATGCTTTGCATATTTATGACGTAAAAAAAATCTATTAAATTCAAGTTTCATTTTGATGTACCAGTAAAACCATACACACTATAAAAACAGTATTATTACAATTTTAAAAAAGTTTTCTGTTTTAATACATTTAAAATGTAATTTATCCATGCAATGGCAAAGCTGTATTTTCAGCAGCCATTACTCCAGTCCTCAGGGTCACATGATCCTACAGAAATCATTATAATATACTGATTTTGTGCTTAAGAAACTTTTTTATTTATTATCAATGTTGAAAATGTTTTTTGGAAACTGTGATAATGTTGTTTTTTTCTGGTTACTTTGATTAATAGGAAGTTTAAAAGTGCAACATTTATTTCAAATAGAAAATATTTTAATTAATTATATTGTGGAATAAGTCTTAAGCAACATTACCTGCTTGTTGACCCCAGCCATAGTAAGTTGTAGGACCATCAGCATCCCATCAGCCCCTTGGATGGTGGTCCTCTCAGAGTCTAACACCCTGTGACATTCTCTCCTGAAGACCCTGGTCATTGTTCTCAGGCTTTCCTCCATAACCACCATTATTCAACCCTTACAAAATGAACTGCAGGGCCAGAAAATTAGGCAGATCAGCACTGAAATGATTATGAGCAGACAGCAGAACATACATGCAACCCAGCCAGCATCACATATACCTTTCCAAGTCTACCACTGAGCTAGAACAGAAAGTCCGAAGACATCAAGCAAATCACAATAATAGTCAGGAACAAGAGGAGGCCCTTTCCCCTTTGCACTTTATTATGAACAGAACCTTCAAACCTCTTAGGTCAACTTACCAACACTGATATTTAGACGCGTCTTATGTCTCTACTGTGAAACACATGGGAAAACAGACGCCAGTAGATGCAAGTTATTATAAACTGGTCCGCTGCCTGTAAATTTAAATCCACATGCCAGGAAGCCTGGACCAATCACAGAGCGCGATGCGTTAGCCACGCCCCCGCCAAACGGGAAGTCAATAGCGCAAACAGAACGGTCCCGTTTTGTTTCAAACCACAACGCGTATCAGTGTCGATTGTTGACAAGAAAATAAATAAAACTCATGCGGTGATTTAAAGAAATATGAGAGCTATACCATCCACTTTTAAAAATCAGTTTATATGACTGCAGGGGCAGTACATTTCCCCAGGACTATAAATAGTTTCAGTTCGTCTAGACAAATTAGCAATAAACTAAACCATTAATTAGTGCGTTTTACAATTGTCTATAGAGTTTGCATTTTATTACGTATATCCCCCATTATAATAAGAAAAAAATACTCAGCATCTCCGAATTCATATTTTTACTTGATTTTAAACCGTATACAGACAGCTCATAAACGATTAAATAAAATACAATTGCTCCAGGGGTAAAATTAACATTTACAATAAATTAGAGAAGTTCATCAATGCGGCTTTGTTTCTAATGTCAATCAAAGCAGATACTCTTCGCGTCATGATTATGTCACTAACCTGGAAGTAAACAAACGCGACCACGTGATCAGAAAGCGCGCTGAAGACAAGAACTCGCTTTCTCGGCCAGACGATCAACTGAGTTAACAAAATTATCTCAGGTTTGTCATAAAGTTTTTTTTTTACATGCTGGACTCGTTACACACCAGCCTGCTGTCTCTGATCTATGTATAGTTCATTTGTAACTTCAACAGTGAAATGAATGTACGAAGTCCGTGAAGAAATATAAAGAGTTATATATTTATTATATCATACATATGTGAGGTACAGTAGTTCTAGTGTTTATTTTTATTTTTTAAAGTTATATTCTTTGAATGTAGGAAACTTTCTTCATACAATAATTCTTGCACTTTTGTTAACCATTATGGCATTCTCCTCCAATAAAATGCATTTTTTTTGTTAACTCTCCGTGTTACTTATATTTTAGATTGGAAAGTAACTCCATTTCATCCAAACAGTAAAGATTCGTTTGATGGAAGATGCCAGATGAAACGGTTCGCTCTGCAAGCTACACAGTGTCCTGCGAGGACTATGTTCATGTAGTGGAGTTCAGTCCATTTGACTGTGGCTCACCTGCGTCACTTCTGGCGTATGGAGGAAACCAGTATGTGGTCGTGGGCACTTGTCGTTTCAAGGTGAGTAGCCTACAGTAATTCACCAGACTGCTCGATCAGTCTGTGGCAAGAGGGCTAACAGTCTGCAGATGTATGTACCTCACTGCAGGGTTGCTGTCCTGCTTCCACATACCTGTTTATGATAGGGTGACCATACGTGTCATTTTCCCAGGACACGGATTTCTATATTGCCTAAAATATCTAGGTTTTGGCTTTGTTTGCGTGTGCAGACCGATCGGTGTATGACATCAAAATACCATACAGACGGTTCCTTATGCTTTCAAAATGCTCTCGAGGTATTTTGATGTCATACACTGATCGGTCTGCACACGCAAACAAAGCCAAAACCTAGATGGCGTTGATAGTGTTGCCATAGAAAAGCATAAGTCCGAGGACGTGAACAGCTCCGAGTATCTCGAAATTACGGTAATTACGATATGGCGTGAAAGCAGCATAACAAACCCAGATAAACCCCACCCTCGGGAAAAGGCAGCAAAGAGGGCGAGGCCATGCTGCGCTGCTTTAGAGAAGAGGAAGAGAAAACTAGA